CTGTCCAAATTTAATTCGATATAAACACTTAATAATGTTTAAATTAAATGTCTTCTTTGTTTTCAAATTTCGAGTAAAAGGAATGAACATGAGTGAAAAACTAATTATTTTTTTTAAACCCCTGTATATATCTATTTTAATTTCACCTGAACAGTACGTTCAGGCGAAATCAAATAAAGATACATTACATGCTATTTGTATTGTTCAGATAAAATCAAATAGATATATACATTAGTTAAAAATAGTTATTTGTACATATAATCAATGAGGGATGAAAAAATTTATTTTGTAAAATATGAGATATGAAAAAATTTATTTTGTGAAATGTGAGGGACTATGGATGAGATTATGTAAATTTCGATTTGACAATTTTGCCTTTAAAAAATGATCACGTGCAAGTTACGTGGTGGATTCTGACAAAAAACTAGTCAGAAACCTAGATAGCGACCATATTTAATCAATGTGAATTTGTAAGGGATGTAAACGTACACTTTTAAAAGTGAAGGACAAAAAAAGTCATTTTACAAAATGTGAGGGACGTTTTGAACGATTTTTCCAATTTTCAATACTGCTTTTTATTTGCCCCACTATAATCTAACAAATTGTATTTTCTATATATATTGACCCCCTAAACAATTAAAAATTTATAATTGTTACCATTCACAAGAATTTTGGATCTATTTAAAATTAATTATAAAGGTTCTTTTAAGAATAATATCTTTATTCTAAATTCAAATAGAGAGAATAAATTTTAGTCCTAAATTTAAGCATCATATGAATTTTAAAACATATTAAACTTATGAAAAATATATTTAACATAAACATCCATTATTTAACTATACTTTTACTTCATTTTATTCATTGTCAGAGATTGACCTATTCAACCTAGGGTCTTGACTCCACCACTGCATATTATTCTCTCTTTCCTTTTTTCATTTATTCTAAATTTACAAAAAAGAAAAAATTTAAAGGTTCTATCTAAAAAGGATTTATAGAGATTTCTTATTAGACAATAATTTCTTAAGTTTTCGAAACAAAAATTCCAAACCTATTTGTCCTAGAAGTTCTCGAAAATAGCCAATCTATCATTTTCCTTTTTCTAGTTGATTTCCACTCATTTTTTCGCTTGTTCAATTTTTTTTAAATTTTTTTTAAAGCTGGCAACTTTCTTATTTAAAAGAAAACCATTTCTTTTTTTTTGTGCCAAAAACTGCCTTTTTCTTTTCTATTATAAGAAATGCCATTTGATTCTTCTAGAAATTTTTTTCCTTATTTTTTTTTAAAAAATTTTGACAAGATAATTTTATAGAAATTGATTTCCTTAATTAAACAAATTCACACATTTCTAGAAGTGAACCAATAACCTCAAAGTCAACTAGCTAATCTCCTTAACAATTGAGTTGGGTTATGAGGACGACATTTTAACTTTTATACTATGACATTCAAGCCCTTTGAGACAAATAGAATTAATCCACTGTAGAAAGTTGGACTAATTCAAAAGAGGAAATGGGGAAGGGGATAGCTAAATATTATAATCGATTGTTCATTGGTTCCATTAAGACAACTAGAGGGGACATCATCCGAAAAATACTTGAGGGAATCCCAACTACAATCATATGACAAAAGAATGAGATCTTAACCAAACCTATTGAGGAAAGGGAGATAAAGACAGCAGTCTTCTCAATGAACCCCAATAATGCTCCAGGGAATGATGGTATGACAACTCTTTTTTCCAAGTTTATTGGTATGTAATAAAAAATGACAGTGTTAAGACAGTGCAAAGTTTCTTTCATTCAAAATTCATGCAAAAATCCATTAATCACACTATAATATCCCTCATCCCCAAGATCCTTATTCCTACTAATTTGATGCACTAGAGACCTGTAAGTTTGTTTTCTGTTCTATACAAAATCATCTCCAAAATATTAGTGAATAGACTCAAACTAGTGTTAGGAAAGTGCATTAGCAAAAATCAGTCTGCTTTTTGTTGCTAGTAGACAGATTCTTGACAATGTAATATTGGCCCATGACTTTCTAACTTTTTTTTTGAAAAATAAAAGAAAATGAAAAGTGGGTTGTATGGTTGTAAAATTTGATATATCTAAGACCTACGATAGAGTTGAATGGAATTATCTAAAAATAATGATGAATAAAATGGGCTTTTGTGAGGCCTGAATCAGTTGGATTATGAACTGTGTATCTACTATTTCCTACTCTTTCGGTATAAATGGTAAAACCAAAGAATTTGTCAAGCCAAGGAGAGGATTGAGGCATGATAATCCCTTGTCACCCTATCTTTTCCTAATTCACTCTGAAGACTTTTCTAGTCTACTCAAAAATGCAAAGGTAAACAAAAAGATGACAAGAATGAAGATCAGCAGAAATGGTCCTTTCCTAGCCCATCTCTTTTTTGCAGTTCATTAATACTATGCAATGCTGAACAGGAGGATGCAAGAGAACTAAAGATAGTTTTGAAGAAATAGGAGTTAACATCAGGCCAAATAATTAATATGGAGAAGTCTTTAGTCTTCTTCAGCAAAAACACTAGCCAAGGAAAGAAACAAGCAATTTGTGATGTACTAGGGAAGATTCAAGCAATCACACAAGGCAAATATCTAGGATTGCCTATGATAATCGCCAGGATCAAATTTGGATTCAAAAGAGACAAAATAAAAAAAAAGAGGGGTCATTGGAAGAATAAGTTACTAAGTCAAGCACGAAAGGAAATGTTGCTCAAGGCAGTAACAATGGCAATCCCAAATTTTGCTATGTCATGTTTCAGGCTCCCTTAGAGGCTCTATAAGGAAATTTGGACTATGATGACTAACTGTTGGTGGGGACAAAATAATAAGCAGGATAAACAACACTGGATTGCATGGGAGAAATTCATCAAGGACAAGAAAAAGAAGGATTAAGCTTCAAGGACTTACAGGTATTCAACAAAGCTCTCCTAACAAAACAGATATAGAGGATAATGACAAATCCCAATTTATTAGTGAGTAAAATATTGAAGAGCAAATACTTTCAAGGAGGATCAATACTGTAAAGTAAAGTGCCAAAAAATGCCTTATGGATATAGCAAAGTCTCATGAGTACAAAAGAGGTAATTGGAGAAGGAGGCAAGAAAATGATAGGAAATGGAAGAGGAATTGATATTTGGAATGATAGATGGATCAGCAACAATAACAATGAGAAGAAAAACACATAGAAACTAGAGGGTTGTAGACTTCAAAAAGTTTCAAACCTAATGGTAAAGCACAGGTGGAACAGAGTCTTGATCTTCAAGTCATTTAGCAAAGATGATGTTGAACACATTTTGAACATTCCAATATGTTTGGCAAACAGAGAAGACTACATGGTACAGACACACTGCAGAAATAAACACACTACAGAAATGGACAATGCACGATTTCATCTAGTTACAAATTTCTACAATAAAACATAAACAAAAAGAAGGATAGAAGCGGAATAGGAGAAGGAATGTAACTACCAATAGACAAACAAAAAGCTGTGGAAAATAGAGCAAATTATCCCAGTGGCCACTAAACTTTTGCCATCGTCGAGTTTTGGTCATTCAACTATTAAAAATCTGGTTTTGACCACCAAACTGTATAAAAGGTAGACGCGAGGCCATTCTGTTAGATTTAGTCGTTAACTTCACCGATGTGTCTGTCCGCGCGATTTCCAATACAAAAGATAGGGTCAATTTAGGAAGTCGAAAATATCACTTGCACCTCTTCTTCCTCTCCCATGCATCTGTTCTTCATCTTCCTTGCCTAAACCCAAACATCAAACAATTGACAATCAAAGAAAAACGCAACAACGAAGAATTTTGGGGGATTGAGCGACAGCAGAACGGGTTGACAAACAAGATCTTCATTTCTTGGAATGATGGAGTGGCCCAAGTGGGTGATTAGACCAAGGGGCCAGCATTTTGATCCATCTAATGCATACGGTAAAGTTTTAAAATCCCTAAGTTTGTTTAGTTATCCACATCCCAGAATAGATTGTGTGTTTCATGTATGTATGGGCTACATTTTATCGTTGTTTTGGCTTTTTGCAATAAAGTGTAGAGATTTCATAGTACACTGATTAAAGTATTCTTAATGCTAGAAAAAGGGGTTAATAAATAATTCATTCATTGAATTTGGGTTTACTAGTTTTGACTAAAATTTTAATTTTTTTAACTAATCGCACGTCATGCAGTGCCAGGTTCTTCTCTCTTCACCATACGGATGTATCATGGGAGTAAATTCAATTGGCAAAATTACAGATACATTGATGGGCATGTAGATTATGTTGATTTATGTGATGCGGAAACAATGTCTGTGCATGAAATAAACTACATGGTGGATAAATTAGGGCATTATGGATGTATGGTGTATTACTATGTTGAGCCTGGAAAAGATTTTCGAAGTGGGTTGAAGGAATTATCTACTGATAAAGCCATTATCAGTTTTTGCAATTGGGCTTATAAGTATAAAATCATGGAGGTGTACTGTGACCACAAGTCAAAGAATGAAATCAAGATGATGGCCACAAAGTCCCTTTCTTCTAATCTAGAGCTGAGTAAAAAAGCCGCAGTCACCATCGAGGAACTTGATGAAAATGGAAATGTTATTAGGGAACCTGGATTTGAACTAGTGCCATTTACAAGATCAATTGGCAAGATAGATGTTGGGAACTCTTCTAAAGAGAATGCCTTGAATAATGGGGATGATGGGGATGCAAATGATAGAGGAAATATAGATGGCCAAGTGGAGACTGATACTAATTCGGATAGAGACTGTGATCACTTTAGTGCTGATAGGCATTTCTGTAGGGATGAAGAAATGTTAGAAGAATTGATTGTTGAGGGGCTAAAATCTGGTGTGGATTCTTCAAATACAGAGCAACCTAAATCTTCACAACATCCCAATTCTAATGTTGATTGAAATAATGCTGCACAACAGCAAGAATCAGTTGCAGATGAACTAGGCAGACAACAACAAACAGTTGGGATGGATCCATGGTCACAACAATCAGGACTTGAAACTGAATTTGAACCTCAGCAGCAGCCTGAGACAAATGAAAAACAACCTACGGATGTGGGAACTGGAAACCAGCAGTCGCGGAGGAAGAAGCAAGTTAGAAGGAGAAGAAACAACAATAGAGCATCAGGAGAAGAGGCAGCTCCTCATTTAGATGATGTCCATGCATTAGATAAAGACACAGTGGTGACTGAGTTGCATAGTGATGCTGGCTCCTCAGATGAAGAGAATGATGATGACTGGAGGAATAGGTATGTTGACTTCAATTCGGAGAGAGATCTAAAAGACCCTAATTTTGAGTTTCACATAGGAATGAAGTTTGAGTCAGCTGAACAGCTAAGATTAGCTATTAGAACATATTCCATCATGAAAGGAAAACCAGTAAAGCCATACACAAATGAAAAAAAAAAGGTTTAGAGCAAAATGCAAACCTCCTTGCCAATGGTTTGTTTATGCTTCAGTTGAGAGAGAACTTGGGACAGCTGATTTGGTTGTCAAGAGCATAAATAATGAGCACACAAACTGCAGTCATGTATGAAAAACAAGAATATTTCTGCTAAGTGGCTTGCAAACAAGTACATGGAGAGGTTTAGATGTAATGTTGAAATGCCTCCAAGATTATTAAGACAAATAATTGATGAGGACTTCAAAGTTGAAATTTCAAAATGGGTGGCATACAATGCAAAGGCAATTGCTAAAAAGGAGATTCAAGAGAATGCAGAGCAGCAATATAAGGACATATGGAGATATTGTACAGAAATTAAGAGGACACACCCAAATACCACAATGAAAGTTATGTTTATTCCCTTCAGACAACCTGGATGCAACCCAAAATTCATGAGACTTTATTGCTGTTTGGGACCATTAAAACAAGGCTTTCTTGACGGTTGTTGGCCCATTATTGGGGTTGATGGATGCCACATAAAGGCTGAATATCGGGGACAGCTGTTGACTACTATTGGAGTAGATCCCAACAATGGATGGTGGTCCATTGCTTGGGCAGTGGTTGAGAGGGAAGCAACTAAACAGTGGAAATGGTTTTTTGAGCTGCTGAAGAATGACTTGCAGATTGAAAATGGGTACAACTACACCTTTGTTTCTAACCAGCAAAAGGTATTAACTCCTTCCATTTGTATATGCACTGTACACATATCTGTTTCAATTTACTAATGCCTTTTGTTTGTAATAATGTATAGGGTCTTGATCGAGCATTATCTGAGGTACTACCAAACAGTGAGTACAGATACTGTGTGCAGCACCTGTATAACAACTTCAAGGAGAAACATCGTGGACTTGCCCTGAAGACAAAACTGTGGAACATTGCAGCAAGTACTACTGAGGGACTATTCAAGAAAGCAGCAGCAGATCTGAAAAAATTTGACAAGGAAGCATATGAATGGGTGAAGAAAGCACCACATCCCAGTCATTGGTGTAAGACTTTTTTTTCAGAACATACTTGATGCGATATGTTGGTTAATAATTTGTGTGAAAGTTTTAATGGTCATATCCTTGAAGTTAGGCAGCAGTCAATTATCACAATGTTAGAATCCATTAGGGTATTTCTGATGGAGAGAATACAGAGAAGGACAACTGCAATGGAGAAGTTTGAATTGTCCATTGGTCCACTAATTAAAAAAATAATTGATGATAGAGTGATAGAATCAAGGCAGTGGAGAACCATTTGGAATGCTGTGGATGGATACCAGGTTAGGGGACCAAGGGGGGCCCAGTTTGCTGTTTATTTAAAGAAAAAATTGTGCACATGCAAACTGTGGGATCTATCAGGTATTCCTTGCTGTCATGCTATTGCAGCAATTCACAGAAATAATGGCGACCCCTATAAAGAGGTGTATGACTGCTACAACAGAGATCTGTTTCTAAAAATTTATCAAAATGTTTTGTATCCTATCAATGGACAAGTAATGTGGCCTGAAGCTGATGGGGTGGATCTTGATCCACCAGAAAGGATAGTGCAACCTGGCAGACCTAAGAAGGTCAGGAGAAGAGATCCTACTGAAACTCAAAAGACTGGAAATAGGTTGCGGAGAAAGATAGTCATCCATTGCAGAAAATGTGGTGTTGCCGGCCATAATGCAGCTGGTTGCAAGGTACAGCAACAAGACAATCAACAACAGCAGAATCAGGATAGCGAGGAGCAGGAGCAGAACCAACAGCAGCAGCGTGTTTCTAAGAATATACAGCAGCAACAGCAGAACCAACAGCAGCACCAGAGGCAGCATCAGACCCAACAGCAGCATCAAATGCAGCATCATCAGGCCCAACAGCAGCACCAGAGGCAGCATCAGACCCAACAGCAGCACCAACAACACCAGCAGCAGGATCAATATCAGCAGCAGCAAAATCAGCAACACCAGCAACAGGATCAACATCAGCAACATCAGCAGCAACAGGATCAATATCAGCAGCATCAGCAGCAGCAGGATCAAGAATATCAGCAGAACCAACAACAACAGCAATTACAATCTGCTGTTGAGGAAAGTGAACGTGCACAACATCGACAGCAGGAAGAAGTTGTATAAAATCAATAACAGTCTCAGAGCCAAGAGGCTCATCAACAAAAGAAAGCAGGAAAACGAAAGTTAACAGATTCAAAAAAGGGACGGATCAACGCCAATTATGCATATTTAGGTAAAGAACCTCCTTTCACTGTTGGAAATTGGAGAAGAAGATGGAGTAGAGCTGGTACTAGAAGAGGAGGAACTTCAGCAACAACTACAAGAGGACAACCAAGAGTCAAAAGAGGATCAACATCTGGAAATTGAAAAGGAAGTAAAGCTATAGCTAGATTGGGACATAATTCAACTACATTTTGCCTTTTTGTATGAAGTTTGTTTTGGATTTGATATGCTGACCTATTACGAACATGGTCCATATGTACAAACAATTTATTTTGTCCAATCTACGCAGATTGTTCTATGTTAATGCAGCACTTCTGTTTAGTTCTTATATCTCTGTCATTGATTGATGAAATTAGTAGAACTGAAATGTGTTGTTTCAAACCTTTTTTGACACCAAATAATAACTATTTATTCATGTGAACAATTCAACTTTTATACATCAAAATATTTATACAGAGAGGTACAAAAGGGGCTTTATAAAGCCATTTGCCCTTTCCCTTTCAATATGCTACCATTACAACCAACTGAGTAGCTATTCTTTAGTGATTTTCAACGATGCCACAAATTTATAGCATGCCACCAGAATTATCTATTCTCCTAACAAACATTGCTAAGACAACTATTAGCCAAGGTAACACTGCACATCGAATGAGTCGCTTATTGGCTGATTTGTACTTGGCAATTTCAATTTTAAGTGGCTTCATTTTACCCTCCAATTTCACAGCTTTTGCTTCCCACTTTCTTGCAGCCTTTTCAAATTCAACCATTTTTGCCTCCATTCCATTGATCTTTCTGAGTAGACCCGGTATAATCATTGTAGATCGAGCGCACATTTCATCATCTATCCAACCCCAATAGCCACAGCCATCCTTCAAAAAAAAAATTCATTATATTTCTTACACAATAATAAATTAAATATCTAAAAAGATGTTACAAACCTCCCCCAATGCGCATTTGGCAAATCTTCTTCCCGGATTTTGTGCAATCCATGAAGTTATCATTACTGTTTTCATCCCACAAACACAAGTAGGCAAAATGGGTGCCATCGATGTAGGTGGCATGGATCTTGCTGGCCCGGCTCTTGGTAGCGTTGATCTTGGTCCTACTTTCTTTAATCCAAGTTGGGCTTCTTCCATTTCTTTCTCTTGTAGTTTCTCTCGGATAAGTAATCTTTATTAGCTTTATACAAGAAGAACAAGAAGATCTATTTTCAACTTCCTAAATTAACCCTACCTTTTGTATTGAAAATCATGCAAACGGACAGATCAGCGAAGTTAACGACTAAATCTAACAGAATGACCTCGCGTCTACCTTTTATACAGTTTGGTGGTCAAAACCAGACTTTTAATAGTTGAGTGACCAAAACTCGACGATGGCAAAAGTTTTGTGGCCACTGGGATAATTTGCTCTGGAAAATATTATGGAAGCTACACATCAAGCAAAAATTTAAGATTTTTGTGTGGAAGTACATTAATAATGGGCCACCAGTTAAAGATCAACTTTTCAAAAGAACACGAAGAGGAGATCCAATTTGTCGTGGTTGTGGGGAAAATGCAGAAATCATAAAGCATGTGCTGTTGCATTGTAGGAATGCAAAAGAGATATGGAAATATGCACCAGTACACTGAGATGGCCTAGAAAACTAGACAGGATGTTTCAAACAATAGTGGAACACAATGATGCAAGCAAGAAGCAGAAATAAGGGTGAGGATCACATAGCTCTAACAGTCAATCTATTTTAGCAAATATGGAAAGCAAGGATTGACAGGGTGTTTAACTCATTACACAAAAATCCTTTCAAGGTGAGTGAAATAATAAAAGAGGAATGGTAGGAATATAATGAAGCAAGGCAAAATCAACCAAGAAGAAGTGCAGCAGAAACATTGAGATAGCAAGAAAGTGTCCTAGTCAACCAAACAGATTCTGAGGTTGTGACACTGAAACTAGTAATTTGAACTAAGACAAAATCCAAAACCTTGGGTATTGGGATTATAGCTTCTAATACCTAGAGACAAGGCATTGTAACGTGGTCCTTAAGGGTAAGAGAGTTAGGAAGTAAACTACAAGACAATGCAAAAGCCGTTAGATTTTGCTTGATCAAACCAGTCAAAAGAGGATGGAGGAAAATCAAGATAAAGATTGCTAATAGGAAACTATTGGATCAAATCAAAGCTAGAAGACTTACTGGAAGTGAGATAGCAACAATCTTGGAGGACATCCAAAAAATGACCTCTTGATTTTGAATGTGCTCTTTTGATAGGTTAGATCAGCAATTTGATAGCCTAAGTCATAGATTGAGCAAACTTGCTTAAGTAAACTTCTGTGACATAGAGTGGTCCTATACCACTGCATTGTGCTGATATGCATTTTTGTAAAGAATGGAGCCTTTGCTCCCACATTATATAGTTTTGACAAAATATAACAAATTCCAAGGATATGTTTGATGATTTCATTAAGGTTTTGACTAACAAGTGCCATAGTTTCAAGTGTTAATTTTTTGGTAAGAATGTGAGTGTGTGAATTCACATAATAAGTGTTATTTAAGTGTCTTAGTGAGTATCCCTAACAGTTTTTTTTTTTTTTTAAAATCCTTTCGTTCATTGCTAATCAATGAAGTAATTACCTTTTGTATTCTACGTGTTTGATATCAAAATTATCCTACCACAAAATATATTAAATACTACATAATCTATCTATGAAGTTTCAAATAAAAATTTTCACTTAATTTGCTAATTTTGGAAAAACATACAAAAACATTACTCAACATTCAAGTACATTACAAACACATTACAAAATTTTGTGTTTCTATTACTTTCAATCACGCATACATACAGTCTCTTGCATGCATACACATGTACAAGTTCTCTTACTCAAACAACTTTCTTTTGACACACTTGTGTGCACTATCTCTTTATTGACATATATGAATATGTGCATTTTTTTCTCTAATACATATACACTTGAATGTTTCTAATACATATAATTAAAATTCCGTATTCATATGCACATCCTTTCTCTCGTATTTCTCTTATACATAGTTGCACATATGATACGTTTCTTACACATACATACATAGTCTCCCTCACGTCTCTCAAACACATTATGTTATTTATTAATTTGTAATATACACAAGAAAATAAATCTTAACTTTTCCAAAAAATTTAGTTAATTAACATATAATTATTTTTTATCAATTGGACAATAGATTTTAAGTTTTTCACATTTCAAATTTACATATCATTACTTACAATGAACAACTAATAGAGGGCCTCAATATCTCCTTGCTAATGTATAAAGTTCTAATGATCGGAAAAAAATTTAGCTTTTATCACTTTACCCTTTAACCTATAACGCATGTATTACTTTGGTTCCTAATATTATTTTTTTGTCACTTAATCCTCTTGATTAACAGTCAATTTTGATAATATGTAATTTGTGACTAAAAAGGCGAATTTGTACTTTAATAAAAAAAAAGACTTTTTAAAACTTTACCCCTTAACCTTTAGCACCCCTATGACTTTGATCCCTATTGTAAATTTTGGCGAATTAAAATTGAGAAAAATATTAGGACAAAATAGAATTTAATTCTAAATATTGACTATGGCTATAAACCATTAAGTTTCACTGATAAATTTTTTTAAACTACTTATTAATGTGTTGATTTTATGGTGTTGTGATGTTTAATCATGTTCCTAGTATTGAAATGATACTATAGAAATATGTTATCCTATTGACAATTTGTTGGTCCATTGTTATTATTTTCATGTTTTACTTGTTGTAAGGAACATGTCAATTTAAAATCTACGTAGTTTCACATAAGTCTGGATTTGAGAAGAAAAATAGGTAAAGCGAAGATTTTTTTTTTTTTTAAAAAAAGAAGAAGCGCATAGTCTAATGCATTAGTGTTGCTAAAGTTTTTTTTTTATTTGTTTTTAGTAAAGAAAGTGATGCCAAAGGTCAAAGAGGGGTAGGAAAATTTTTTTCATAGAGTTGATATGATAGAAGGGTTTTCTTTTAATTATTTCTTTGTTTTTTTTTTTGAAAAGATGGTAGGGGGTTAAGTGACCAAATAATAACTTTTGCGACTAATTGGAGAGAATCGCTAATGGTTGAGGGGTTAAAATGATAAAACTGCAGAAATTTAACCCGAAAGTGCAAAATTTTAAAAAAGAAAAGAAAAGATAAACAGAGACCGAACCGCCACTGCCCAGTGCCCCACCCCATGCCCAAGACCGAAGCATTATTCTTCGTGACAGTATCGTCGCATCCCAGTCCAAACGACGCCGTAAGTCTCCTTCCTTAGCTCTTTCTTTGCCGTGCAATTGTTGATTTTTGTTAGCCGTTAGCTGTTGCAGCGGCAGCAAAGGGCAAACTACCACAGCAAATAGCAATGGGAATCATAAAAGACGGTACAATCTCAGGCAATTTACCCGCCAACACGGCGGCCTTCGCTGTAAACTACCCGGCTTACCCTTCTTCCATCGCCCGCGCTGTCGAGACTCTCGGCGGCACTGAAGCCATTGCCAAGGTTCAGTCTTTAAACTACAAAAAACACGCACTCACACACTTGATTGTGCGTTTTTTTTGTTCTACTTGTTATTACTAGCATTGATAATTACATTGTTTTTTTTGGTTATTTAACAATTCTACGTTGTGTGTTGTCATGATAGTGTTCTGGGATCGTCCTATTATTCAATTGGCATGTTAGTATTCTGTTTAAATTACAAATATACACACTCTGAATGCGTATTTTGTTCTGCTTGGTACTTGTAATCTTGATATGTACAATTTTTTTTTGGTTATTTAGGAATTCTACGTTGCGTTTTCATGATAGTGTTCTGGGTCTGTCCTGTATTTGAATTCGCATTTGATTTTGTGATGAACATTCTTAACAAGTTTGATTATTTATGTCTGTTATTGTAATTGATTGTTGTGATATGGTTGGTTCAAGTGGTAAAATTATTGATCCCCAAGTGTTAAAGTTTTTGCAAAGATAATAAAATGGCTACTGGGCTAGCTCGAGGGATAAAGTTAGTTAATGGTATAGGTTGCTCTACTTCGACTCCATAAGGCATGGATTTGTAGGCCTTCTGTTTAGTACTCAACAGCACGCATTCATGATAACTGTTGAATATATTTGAACATTTGATTCGTTTTCTTCAAAAGTTCAGTTGTTGTAGAAGGATGAAACAGACTAGTTATTCACCAGTGTAGAGGTAATGAGATGACACAGATTAGTTGGGTTTAATGTCCTTCTCCTGGGAATCTATTCGATGATCAGTTTGCTTTTATTGATGGATGTTGATTCTGATGGTGGGTTCCTAGACTTCAATAAACTGGACTCAGAACTTATTAACAGTGGAATATATGCTAGATCAGATTGCATTGAGGAAGCACTAGATTGATTAATTGCTTTGAAGCTTCATTGGTTATTTTGGTTAAGCCACATTAAGGTTCACAATATGGCAAGGACCTCAACAGTTTTAGGTTCTTGGGAACTATCCGAAAATTGGCTCATTATCTTTCAGTGGGAATGCTAATGCCTTGTTTCTTATTAGAGCCTATATGTTCATGGAAGTTTCTTTGTGCTTTTGCCCATGTAGAATGCTCTAGTTTTCCTGTAAAACATGTCGGTGTTCACCACTCAGTATGAAACAATACTTGGGGATGATTTGGAGATATTGGAGGACTCAACTGACTGCATTCTTTTTTCTAATAAATACCAGCAATGAGCAGTGGGACTCCCATACCTGAGTATGCGTAACATAGGTTTAATCTGTATTTGGAAGAGGAATTTCAGGCTCTTTGCTTATTGTCTCTTATTTTCTTTCCTTAGTCGATTAGTTGATCCATTGCCCTATAAAGAGATATTAGAGTTGGCAAGGATAGCGGCTTTTTTTTTTGTGATATTTTTATCTCATTGGAATATCAAGAATTTGACAAATTACCAAGTAGAGAAGAATGGTCCACCCTGCTTACCTCGAATAGTGAGAGTTGGTATTGCTTTTGGTATTCTTGAAGTTGTCAACTTCTGCTTACAATTTGAACCTTTAGTATATTCCTAAATGGTTAGAATTTTTGGCTTGCATGTGAAATGCCCTCTTGGCTTTGTTTCAGGCTCGTAGTTCAGAGTCAAATAAGTTGGAACTCCACTTCCGCCCAGAAGATCCGTATTCACACCCTGCCTTTGGAGAACTTCATACTTGCAACAATTTTTTATTGAGAATATCAAAGGACAGAGTAAGCAATGCCCAAGATCCTGAGCTTAGAAAGAGGGTATCAAGCAGTTCTTCTGCTGATCCTGTTAGTCTTGAACAACATGAGTCCTGTTCTGGATCGATAGAAACTACAGCAGAAGCTGAGTCCCAGGTTGTTGAGGAACGGCAAGAACATCTTTCTGCTGATATTGTTGCTTGCATAGGAGAAGCTTATCATTTTAATGGTTTGAAAGTTCATTCATGTTGTTCTGATTTTTTCAATTCCTCTGTATCTATCACCTAGGATGACATGACGTTTCTCTTTATTGTATACATGCTTTTTTAGGAATGGTGGATTACCAGCATGTTATTGCTGTCCATGCTGACATTGCCAAACGAAAGAAGAGAAATTGGGCTGAATTTGGTCAGGCTTACTTTATTTTATCAGAATTTGAAGTAAATTAGATAAAACTGTTTTCTTATTTAACTTGATTTTCAGTTTCTTATTCAGCTTGATCTTCTTTTATGCATAATTAGTAGAGAAGGGTGGCCTTATGGATGTTGATCAGGATGATTTGATGATCCTAGTACCACCGTTGTTCTCGCTGAAGGATAGACCAGAAAAAATAGTGTAAGTTGTCACCTTTTAGCTGTTTACCTATACATCATTTGTAGATGCAACATGTTTTCATGTCCTGCATTTTAGCATGTGTTGATGTCAATGAAAGGCTTGTCATCTGAGTACTTATTGTAACTGGGAAGGAGCCTTATTGCTTAATAGTGGAGGAACTTGAGTCAGCGAGGCAGAAAGTTGTGCATTAGAAACTTTTTAATTCTACGTATTTGATGTGCTTATTGTACAAAAATTATACAGTGAAGATACTGCAGAAAAATGGTTCAGTATGTTCCACATTGGTATCATTCCATAAATCTATGGACACAGAATTGTCATCGTGTTGCCAGTGGTTTTGAAGCATATGGGAGCTTCTGATCCATAATAAAGTATGTAGAAGGCCGTGAATATAACATTCAAAAAAGAAAAATGTGTTTCTTCTAAAGCATGTTCAAGGGACCACTAAAACTTGTGATTCCTTTAAAAGTACAAGTTTCTCATGATTTCGATTTCCACCAGAGTTTGTTTTGTTTCTAAATGGTTCTAGGCCTGACTTCTCTCATTAAGATTATTTTCTGCATTATTACCTGCAGGTTTTTATTTTTACTTCCTTCACATCTTTCACTTAACTATTACAGGATGAGTGAATTCCTCAATTGCCGATAAAGTTAACTATGAAAGGGATTTCTTCTAATAGATTTCTTTTGTTGCTTTTAAGTCCAAATTTTAACAGTTACTGTACCCTTTCGTCTTATGGCTTTTGAAGATCACCATGAGTTTGAAATTGTTTGGATGTCTGACATCACATGCGCATGCAATCTGAGGAGGAATGAACTTAGAAGTTGGCATAATTCAAGTCAAATTGCATTGCAGGTTAAAACCATGTATACATAGCAGCTCGAAAACGAAACAAGAGGATATGAACCAGCATCATCAGGAGGTAGCCTAATCTTTCCAAGGATGATTATATCTGATTTTGATGTTCATCTTCTATTTGCATGTGAACCATGTTTTTGTAGGTTGAAAAGTTGCACAAGTATCAATGCTTGCTTTAAAAGGAAGAGCAACTGCTTTTAGCCTAGTCCTAATATTTACTAAATACTTCAGCAATAATAGATGCTGGCACAAGCTGGCTGCTGATACCTTTCTTATTTATATCAGATGATGGGTGATTCGAGATTTTTTTTTCTTTTTTAATATACCCATGAAAGGGATTCTTGGAAAATTGGTAGTCGGATAGTCTAAATAGTTAATAAAATTTATGAAGGATAAGAAGCATGGATGTAAGCAAGGCATTAATACTGGGCATGATTTGTTCCGAGAATACATCAACTGTTTTCTCTGCCACTTATCTGTATAAGCCCATAAACTTATTTAAAAATATTATTGTCAAAGCGGAAAACCGATCAGAAGCTGTCAGAAAAGTGGTTAGAAGCTTCAGATTTGTGAAAAGAGAAGAATTTTAATATTTTATTGTCAAAGTGGAAAACCAATCAGAAGCTGTCAGAAAAGTGGTTAGAAGCTTCAGATTTGTGGACCTAAAACTTATGAAGGGATAAGGAGCATGGATGTAGGCAAGGTATCAACACTGAGGCATGACTTTGTTAAGATAATTCATCAAATGTTTTCTCTGCCTCCTATCTGTACAAACCCATGTACTGATTTTTAAGTTTTAGTTTTAAGAAAGGAGAAGATTTTAATATTTCATTTCAAAGTGGAAAATCTATCAGAAGCTGGCAGTAAAGTTGCTAGAAGCTTCAGATCTGTGGTCCTTTCTCTCCCTCTTTGTGCTGTTTCCAACTTTAATAGTTTGCAGTTTGCACTTCTTCCTTTTTTCTTTCTGGGTTAGGCCCTGGATTTTTAAGTAATCCCTAACCCCTCTTTTCCAGTTTGAGGAATTGCTAATCACTCTAAGCTAGTGTGGTGTTGGTGTCATTCATTTGTTGCATTGTGCTAGATAAGATATGGTGATCATTTTTCATGTGTTGGATCTCAAGTTCAGTGGCACATAGATTGACCTGTTGGGAACTTATTATTAAAAAGTAAAGCATTGTTGATTCAGAGATTTTTTTTTATATAATCTCTTTCCTCTTACGATGGCAGTAGTTGTCTGACTCATTCCTTCTGTTGTACTAATGACTCTATTTACTTAGTGTACTCGTCTTTCCTGTGTATCTTCTATTAGGTTTAAGGTTTTTTTTTTTTTTTACCACTAACTTCATTTTGCTGATGCAGAGGAATATGGAGCCAAGTCTAGCACTTGATATTGATATTGAAGATATCCTAATCATGATTATCTGTATAACTTGAAGTTCTATAGTCTATAGGATCCAGTTCTGTCTTTTATTACCTTTGGCCATTCTTCTCTGAAAAATTGGTGTTGGACATTACAGTTGTTCGTGTAATATAAATGCTGAAATTGTTAAAATGTGAGTTTGCTTGACCACTTACCATGAAAACATTAGTAGCTTTTGGTTTTGGGAGTGAGAGGAGTAATTTCAGATGGATGATATCACTCCTTTGAAGTTGTGTTATGACTCCAGAGAGACTTTAGCCCATTTTTAAGGATTGTTAGGAGACAGAGCTAGAAGGGAGAAGTTGAGGGTCTTGACTTGTGTCTCTCAGCATTTATAGATGCCCTAAGTCTCAATAACAAGTTTAGGCTGATCATTTGTTGCACATATAAACCTTCTACTGTTGGAAATTTTTCTCTGGTGCACAAAATGAAAGTTTTGTACCCTTAATGAGTTAGCTGCCATTTCATTTACTATAACTGTACAATAGCACCTGATATTTTTTTTTTTTGGATTGCCGTTACTGCAGAAAGATCATTTCTTTGTAAAATTCAGGGAACCCTTGAGCATCATAACTGTATTTTGATGACTGTCTCTTCAATTCTAGTATTTTTTAAACAAATGTCGAAAGCTAAGACATGATCAAGCATTTAAGCATCCAGAGCAGTGTAAAGAATACTAAAACAGACATTGGATAAGTCAGTGTTAAATCTTCGCCATTTATGTCAACCATTAGTAATGTGCCTTAATGTTGTCTCTGGCTAGCTTAACTAATACTGAACGTGGAAGGATATCTATTTTCAGGAAATAATGATTCATTCTTGTTGAAGTTAATTTTCTTGCCGAAAAGAAGTTAAACTTTTTGGATTTGGGTGCATTCTTCCTATTTCTAGTTCACTTAACGTTCAAACAGATCCCAAAAAAGGTAAACTGGGAGAAATTCATACCTGAAGGTTCAGAACAATGGGTTTTGCAGAACACAGTGGCTGAGCTGTTCAATGAACGACCAATATGGGTAAAAGATTCATTGTCTGAGCACTTGCTTGACAAAGGTCTGGAATTTGGAGAAAACATGCTCAAAAGGTGGTTTTTGTTATCTTATCCTGTCATTTATATGTCATCGAAATTGAGTTTTTGAACTAAACAGTGAATTTCATGTAAATATTTCTTTTGGCTCTTGATGTTGGTCCATTGTCTTTCAGGCTTCTGTTCAGAGCGGCTTATTACTTTTCAACTGGGCCATTTCGCAGATTCTGGATCAGAAAAGGATACGATCCTCGCAAAGATCCGGAGTCTCGCATGTGAGGGTCCCATAAGAAAACTCATACTTTTTTATTCCTCATGAGTTTGGCATTTTCTTTCCTTCTTTTACTTAGCCTTTTATTTAAGCTGATTGTGGCCATTGCCAATAATATGCTGTCTTTTGTGATTAAAATTCATTGGTACATTTGCTTCAGGATGATTTAGACCATCTCCCAAGTTTCGTAACATCTTGTGATTTAGTTCTTTTTATGTATCAATTTGATGCTTTTAATCCATCTTTCAGGGCTAATTTGGAAAAGTGCATATCAATTTTGTGGACTACTTCTCATAGTTTACTTGCTATAACATGGTATATACTATGGTTCTCCACTAATTCATTTAGGGGTTGATTGGTAACTAATATAAATTGGCGTACTAAGCTCTTTGAAAACTGTAGACTTTTGGCAATGATCACGTGAAGGGACATTTAAGGAACCCACTTCTCTAGGAGGTCTGTTTCCCTGGAACAGACCTCCATTACAGGTCCATTAAAGACCTTGACCCATTTTACAATAGGAGCTAAAAGTCAACTTAAACCTCAGACCAAAAGAGAAAACTTGGCATCACCCTTATCAAATACAATATAAAAATTTAGTGGTTTGTCAATAGCATAATAACGAATTCATTTAATTAATTGAACTTAAACTAGTTATTGTAGCTCAAGTAATTTTATGTCAGTAGCGTAAGAATGAATTTATTTAATGGTTGAAGAAGCTTTAAGAAGCTTTTGGTCATCCCATAGCAATCAAGTCTGAACGTGTCTGGCAACATTAAACAGGTTTCATAATGAAGGAGCCTTGTTAATATTGCTTCATGGTCATATTTGCTCCCAGATCAACAATGAGATTTTTGAGCCAATTCATTTACAGATTTTGTTTCTTTGTGCTTTTCTCTTCTATGGAAATTAATTTATTGCCTTCTGCCCTACAGCTTCACAAGTCTCGCTCCATCCTCTGTTGCATGACTCTCCTGGAACATTTATTTTGGTTCTGAGCAGCTTTGTTAATTTTTGCTCCGTTTAATCTTTTTTATTCTTTGTATTGTTGAATTTGGGACCTTTCAAAGGAAGCCGCTGTCTTTTAGGCTCTTCTGTGCCAAATTTTTCTTCTTACCATTTTTGAACTGCCAAACCTTGACTTGTAAGAAGGAGCAAGGCTTGATATTCTTCAGTCATAAGGTTGTCTTTTATTGCTGTATTTATCAAAAGTAGAATGTAGGGATGGTCCTTCAGTACTTGCTTGGGAGATTTTACTTAAACAGTAAATGCTGTGAAAGAAAAGTATTAACTTTACCTGCTTTTGCAAGCTGGAAAGTGAACTGCTGATTTTTCCTATGGATAAGCTAGTTATGGAACTTCTTATTATTTCCTTTTTCTTTTCTTTGTTTTCTTGCCCCCATAGAGTTGTTTCGTTTCTTTAATAGTAGAAAAGTTGCTGCTTTTCCATCAATTATTACACATTTTCTTTTAATAGGATCTTTCTAATGACATTGAGAAATTTTGCTGGTGTCATTTTAAATACTCTTGGACATTCTATGCATTCATCTTCATCACCAATAGATATGCTTCTGGGACATTGGAAATGTCTTATTACAATTTAAATACTGCCTACTCATTGACCAATGGATTGTGATGTACTTGTGAACAGATATCAAACAATGGACTTCCGTGTGCCAGTACCATTAAGAAGCTACTGTGAGGCTAATTCAGCATCAAGGTTAGTGCTTTGAGAATTAATATCTTTGGTGAAATGCATTCATAAAATTTGTTGGCTTGGTCAATTTTTTCTGTTTTTTGTTTTGGTAATTCTGTCAGTTATTTTCATCTAAAAATCCCAAATTCGTTTTTGCCCATTAAGGAGACAGATGGCTGTCATCATTGCCTTTTCCTTTATCTCAGACAAATGTTCATCTCAATGGTGATTTCCATCTGGCTTGAAACAAAAGAGATGGAGATTATTCTGTTGGGACTCATTTTATGTTAATTTAGTCAATGTTTTATTGCCTTTTTTATAGATTTCTATTTTCAAATTTGTCTTAAGGAACTTAACGATCATTATAAAATAGTTTACAAACAATGTCTCACTGAATCTATTCAAAGGATAGAATATAAGTAGAACAGCTATTTTATAAGATTTATAACAGTGTTTGACTATTTGATTTTTTGAACAAGTCTGGAGACATTTATTTTTATCTACAAAAGTTTCTTTTGCTTCCTCTTCCTTTTATTTTATCTAGTAAAGTTTCTTTTTATTTTTAGACATTTATTTTTATTTACAAAAGTTTCTTTTGAGGCTAGTTTGCAAGAAAAAAGACGTCATGAAAGGGTGGCGCTCCCATTTACAATCATGAGAAGATCCTATCAGTAAAACGTAATCCATTGGTGAATCATCCAAATTGGTCTCTTTGTACACAACTTATATTGAAGGATCTATACTGTAGATGCTATATTGGGAGGTTATATGTTAACATTGGTAGGATAAGCATCAGCACTTGGCACAGATGCCACTCATTGAAATATATAGCACTGCCAAGATGGAAGGTTAATATCAAATACAGTACAATCATGAGGCAACAAGGAAACCAAGTTCAAAACATTTGAAGTTGCCGATAATAACCTTAAAAAAGCTCAGGGGATGTGGCTTGATAGCTTGTGAGTTATACTGGAAGCAAAAGAAGTCTAAGCTGGATGAGCGAGATGCTAGGAATTCAGAGTCATTAACTCCTGAGTTGCATATCTGAACCTTTTGTTCTCGGTAGTTGGCAAGGAGCAGACCAAGTTATGAGGCATATGGAAACAAACTTGTGAGGTTGAAAGCAGTTTAAAGGATGAGAGCTCTTAAGCATTTATATTTGATTCATGGCCAAATTTACATTGTATGAAGGTTAAAAGATCAAAACTTGACGTTTGATTCTGTATTGAGTTGCTTAGTTGTTACCGTTGTCCTTCTTTTCTTCTTTCCTCTCACTTTTTTGCTTTAGAATATATGTTGTGTGATGAGAAGACAGTCAATAAGACTTCAGTAGCCATTTTTAATGTTTCAAGAGACTATGATGCAGAAAGCTTGAAAATCCCTTATTTACTTATTTATGTTTTGCTGTTGTTAGTTTTTATTATCCAACAAGCTAACTAATAATTTTCTGATATCACTTCATGCAGACTGAAGCATCGCTGGGAGGATATATGTGCCTTTCGAGCTTTCCCATATAAATGCCAAACTTCACTGCAGCTCTTTGAACTTGCTGATGACTACATTCAAGAAGAAATAAGAAAACCGTCAAATGTAGAAGCATTCAGTGTATGTTGTACTAACTTGCAAATCAGTATTTATTAGTGTGTTATCATCATTTTTGTACTTATCTGGAGACTAGAGTGGTTTCTTTTAGCATTGATTTGATGCTATAGGACATTATCGAGACTGTTTGTCATGCCAAAGGTCTAGACTACCTTTGTGAGTTCTGGCACTGTTAAATGATCATCCATTCCAGCACTGTACGAATTTTGTAGGATTAAAGAATACATTGTCTTATTTTATGATAAAACTTGGGTATTGACTGCTGCTGATACGTTGTATTGCACGTCCAATTCCATTCCTTGAAGTCTTTGTCGTTCTTTGTTTATGCCAAAAAGCTGTTAAGGTTAGAAAATAAACTTTTATCAGCACCTGTTTTAAACTTTTTAATTCTCATGAAATGATAAATGTTAACACTTCATATCTTGTCATTGGAAAGATTATAAAATAAACTTTTATCAGCACTTGTTTTCAATTTTTAATTTTCATGAGATGATAAATGCTGAAACTGATAAGAGTAACACCTTGTTGCTTATCATAGAAGGGGTTTTCCTGTGAATGTTTAAATAAGTCACTAATTAATGTGATATCTTCATTTTGAAGCATAATTTGTAATTCTTTTGCTGCTAAACTGTTTCAGTGATGTTAGAAAGGAGGTTCAACATATTTAAAAGGGAAGCATTTTCACTTTAGGCCTCGTCAACTTGATTTCCCAGTTTATGACTCTCTGGCATTCTCGGTAATGATTTTCTGGTTTTGCTGGATGTAGGAGAATTTGGTCAAACTTTTCCTGGACTTTAAATTTAGAATCAGAAAAAATAGGCTAAGAAAGATTTTTTTTTTTTTAGGATTTACGTCATTTGTTAGGTAAAGATGAATCACTTGGCAGGATAAATGAGAATTTGAGCTTTATTTTCTGGTAGAAGACAATAAGATTAAACATTTATTGGCTCGATCATGGCCTATCTTCCTGTGGAAGAGAGAGAATTTAGCTTTATAGATCATGAGGTTCTGGGAATTACTATATGTTGAAACTCCGTATCAATAAGAAAACCAAGGAAATACCCTATATTCCTGTACACATCTTCATTTCATTTTGCAAGGTAGTGAAACTAGAAGCAAATGGGTACTTCTAATGGTACTTTGATAATTCATATTTTGATGTAAAATCATCTTTTTGTCTGGCTGCTTATTTGTAATGCTTTTTGGACTTGTGCTGGACTCCCTGCATCTGTATGGTTGTGCTACAGTGTATCAATATTTTTCTCATCGATAAACTTGTGCATATAGCTTGATTTATTTGGTTGGTTTTTCAAATGCATCTTTACCAATGTTCTGCTTGTTACCGATATTTTGATTGCATATATGATGAAAATCTCTGTAAAAGGCGACTTTTTAATCTGTACAACAATTTTAATCTGAATCTGATACAGAAGGCAACAGGATGGTTCTCAGCCAATGTGCTTGAAACCTTGAGACACCGGGTTGCTGTCAGGTTTCTGTCAGTGTATCCCAATGCTGGTGCAGAGGCAATCCTGAAATCTGAATGTGACCTCTTTGAAAAGTCGAAAAAGATGCGTCTGTATCCAAAGAACTTGAAAGCAAATGAGGAAAGGCAGCAAGACAATAGAGGTCATATTAACTTCTACATCTATGCCACTTTCAGTGTAAATGAAATTGAACTTCTTTTATCTTTTTTTGTCTCTCTTATGTGATCCAACGTGCTAAATGAGAATTGCATGTCTACCTTGCTTTCCTTGTCTTTCCTTAATTCCTTTCATTTATTTCATTTACATTCGCTTTTATTAAGTTATGCTTTTATGGGGTATGTGTACACCTCTTGGCTTGTAATAGATAGGGCTTGGAGAGCATTTTTATTCATTCTCCCTTTTCCCCCATTTGTTTTAGTTAGCAAATGTAATAGATTCATTAGCTTGATTGTTTGCTTTTGTTGCTACGTGTTAATTTGCTTTATTAGGCTCTTGCATTTAGTCGAGCATGCTAAGTGTTATGTGCTACGTGTTTATAGGTGATTGGCATGTCTACTTGCTTTCTATAGTCGTAGATGAATATGATGGATGAGTGCACGTCACCACACTAGTCCAACGCTAGTTGTGGCTCATTGTCCCGTTTTCCACTAGTCCAACGCTAGTAGGAATTCATAGATATGGGCTAGTCCAACGCTAGACCCAATAGGCCATCCCCTCTCGTTAGCACATACTTGCATGTTTCACTACATTTCATGCATTTTTCTTAGTTTTTTAGCATTTGGCATGCCCCTCCAACCTTTTCCCTTTCATTTTAGATTTTTTTTTTTTGCATTCTCATGCTAGTTATAGGGTACATTTGCTTGAGAGTCACCTTTCGATAAGGGAAATGAGCGAGTGTGGCTACAAAATAACCTTAGCACGCTAGTTCTTCCTTCTAATCAAAGGGAAAATTAAAATCATGAAGTTAGGAGTCATTCCCATACCCGACTTGATGCATTCCTCTAGGTTCATACACTCTCATTTTTATCATATCACTTCCTCACCTTTTTTATCACATTTTCTCATTACTTATATTTTTCTCACTCCACATGTCATGTTTGCACATTTTATTTCTTTTTCTATCACTTGTTTATTTTTCTACCTCACAAATTGCACCCAATTGCATTTATATATTTACTACCATTATACCTTATTTTCATCCACTTGCACACAAACACCTTTATTTTCTCTATTGGCACACATACACTTGCACACATGCACTTTTCTTACATTTGCACACTTGCACTTACATTTGTTTTTATTTTACTTGCACTTTTCTTACTTACATTTGCACACTTACACTCATACTTGAGTCTTCATTTGCATTATTCATGACTTCTATGAGGGCTTTCCTTACTGGCCATCACAATTCATGTGGTTGGGACCAAAAAACCTCATAAGAAACATTTTTCGATTTAGGATTGCATTTGTTTTCATATCCATTAGTCATATCCAACATGCAACACATACTTTGGGTAGAAAAATTAGAAAAAGAAGGGCTAAGTCACGCAACTAGATTTGGCTAGGGTAAGGGAGTGCCTTAGGCTTTGCCTTTGCCTTCTCCCTTATCAAATGTGACCCCCGATCCCTTTCTTTGGTTACATAAACCTAAAAATTCTTTAAAAAGGGTTTTGTTTACTTTTCTTTCCAAAAAATCACTTTTTTTTGGGTGACTTGGTACACCCTAACTCTATACCAAGTGGCGACTCCATTTTCCATTCAAAACCCTTTTTTGAACTATATTGTCTGGCCAAACCGTCGCATTTCACAATCCCACGGCCTTTTATTTTCACTTTCATACACGTTCACATACATATCTCACACACTACTTTCACACCACCATCAAAAAGTGGGGCGCGACAGGTATATTAATAATTTTTAACAACTTAAGGGTCAAAACATAACATTGAAAATGTTTTGATCCTATATCAGATGAAAGTGCTTTGAACTTTGACCCCACGCCACACCTCTCATTTCTTCCTCTACTCCTGACGGTTGACGCATTCCATTGGTCATTTCATCTTCCTGCAACTCCTTTCTTTATCTTCCACGCCATTCTGCAACTCCTTTCTTCTTCTTCTTCTTTTTTTTTTTATTTCATTTTCATACTTATTTTATTAGTTATTTGTTCTCAAACCCATGAAATATCATGCTTTTATCTGATTTCTGCAAACTGTTGTCTTCTCCACGCATTTTTTTGCATTTTTGGGGTCTTTTTTTCTTTTGAATACAAGATCTAAGATTATATCTTATTTTAAAAAAGAGGTAAAACATTGATTTTTCATGCTTGAATTGAAGTCAAAGAGTGAAAATGGATTTGCAGAGGAGGGAGAGCTCACAAGGATTTGGAGTTAAGAGGTCAGGAAGGGTAAAGAGAATTTAAAAATGGAGAATAAGAAAAACCCGGTTCGCACGGGTTCTTCAGGTTTCCAGTCAAACCCGGTCAAAACCAAGTTTGACCGAGTCTTGACCAATCCGAGTTTTAAAGATAGCTCGGACCGGACATTTGGCCGGTTCCCGGTTCAACCGGTCGGGCCGGCCGGTCCGGTCCGAGTTTAAAAACACAGTCATTTACGCCATGGAATTTTACCAACTCTGATATGATGGTCAAAAAATGATTATTAGATGCTCATATTCTAATGTGTGAAAGTTGTTCTATCATCTTTGATGTCAATATCATGAAAAATAGGATTCTACCTTACCTCTTGCGCTACCTCTTTGGATGGTACAAGAAATATAAACGTGTAAGTCTTATTGAATTATATATCCAAGATACAAGGTAGTTTATCCCTAACATAGGATTCCTTATATGGCATTCCCTTCTAAGATTGATGCATGATGCCAATTTATTAAAACGAGTAAATATATGCGATAATGAAAATCAAACATGACCTGAAAGAACCCTCTTTATATGTCAAGCTAGGCATAAGATGAAGTACAATGTTATGGCACTAAAATGCAATAACTTGTAATTTAGATATGTGAGAATCTATTTATTAAGGTAGGCTCTAAAAAGAGTACCATGCTGGACTCTTATTTCTGAAATTAGTGGATGAAAGAGAAAACAAGGAAGGTTAGTTTAACAAATAATACATAACACGTTAGAGTAAGAAAATGATACAAAAATGTAAGGTAAAGAAAGAGGGGTAAAATCTCTCCCCTTGTGTCTAGTGTTCCTAGTTGGGTAAGATTGACCCTATCCTAGACAATTTCTAGTATGGATCCATGAGATTGGGTTCACTAATGCATCTAGACTCGATAAGGTTTCAGATTCCCAAACTTTCAGACCAAGAGGCGAAAGGTCATCAATCCCAAAGCCTCTAGTAGGTGGTTCGAGTGATCCCTCAGACATTGCTACGTGCACGTCGTGCCACGGCCACATGTCCAAGTGAATCGATTCTAATCTTAATAGAGAGGAGTGGTGTGACAACAACTAAAAAAAAGATGAAGGGTTATAAATAAATAGCGTATGCACGTATGAAGTGTTCCTTTGAGGGAAGGGATTAAATACCATCAAATGTAGGTTATGGTTCTAAGTCGGCTATACCCCCTTCCCAAGATGCAAAGCGTGATATAAATACATAAACATAAGTAAATGAAAGTAAATAAACAAACTATTCATCATATACACGGATATCGAGACGATTGCACGTGTGAAATGCAAGAAACCCTAAAAAGAAAAAAAATGCAATCTAAAACATTCTAATGTGATATGTAAAAAGGTTAGAAAAAGAAACGGATTGACTAAATCAAGTGCTCGAATTCTCTAAAAATCCCCAGTGGAGTCGCCAGCTATCGTGCCCTTTTTTTTTGAAATAAAAATTACGGGTTATAAAAATGAACTTTTGATTTTTTAGTGAAAATGAGTTTGATTTTTAGAGAATAAATAAAGAAAAATGGCTTAACATAGGATTTAAAAAGTGCAATGATTTTGGCCCAAAATAATAGTCTAAAAAGGATTTTTTAAAAAAAATAGAAGTCGCCACTTGATTTCGAGTTTAAATGTACCAAATCACCTAAAAATATGTTTTTTAATAAAAATAAACAAAACCCTTTTTAGAAGATTATAGGTTTTCGAAAACAAGAGAAAAGAGTTCGAGAGTCACGGTTGAAAAAAGAGAATACAAAGATTTGATCTAAAACACCCTTTTAACCTAACCAAAACTAGTTGTGTGATTTAGTCAAAAATTTTCTTAATATAACCTATAAAACTTATCATATTCGAATGTTTTTACACGGATGCAAAATCTAAATTAGGAGGATATCGTTTATTATTAATTATTCAAATTAATTGCGACGCCAAAGAATGACTCTTTGAAGAGGTCACGAATATTTATGGCCCAAAGGAAAAAAAAATATATTATATATATGAATATACGTGACCTAAAAGAGGAATGCAACATAACGGGTGCGGGGTTTATGACTCGATTTTTCTTTTATAGGGGTACGAGCGTGCTAAGACTAAATAACCATATTCGTTCGTTTTCCATATTTAAAGCTGCTCCCTAATCTAATCAAGTAAATGAACTATTTTAATTTTTCTTAAATGGAATGCAAGTTAAATGTCATGTTACGCACATAGGGATAAGAATATACTTATAGAGAAATATCATGCAAAATGGTAAAGTTCCTAAAAAGAAGAAAATATGCATGAAATGTAGTAATTGTCACATCACGCAAACATGATTTAGCGAGTGGATGGTTTCTAAGGGTTTAGTTTGACTAACCCATTTCTACAAGTCATGCAAATAAGAGCTAACTATTACATTCGGGGCCCTAACTACAATCTAAGAGGGGAATTTTGTGTTGTAAAATATAAGTATATTTCAAAAGTTTTGTCCCACATCGAAAAATGAGAAGGATTGCTTTCTCTATCCCACATCGAAAAATGAGAAGAATTGCAGTCTTTGTCCCACATCGGAAGTGAGAAGGGTTGCACCTCATTCTAAAATCTATAAATAGCACCTATTCCCTCCTCAAAAAGGCACTTCGACAGCTTCAATTGATACCTTCCTAATAGCTGCTCGGACTCTCTCTATCTCTTTTATTTCTGTCAGTCGATACCTTCCTGACAATTTGTTCTCATCTTCTCTCTCTATATCTGCTGGTTTAATTTGCTAGTTTTGGTCCTTCTAGTTTGCAACAAGAAGAAAGCCTGTCTTTCTTGTTCGCAACAAGAAGAAGGCTTGTTTAATGTTGGGGAGACATTTCAATTTCATGAAATAGTTTCTTAGGACAGTGCTACAAACGACTCAAACCATAGTGTTAACATTGTTGTGGCCGTTCCCACAATCTAAGAAACTATAGCCTCCGACAGTGTTACACCACACAACCTTCATCCGCAGCAACAGTAGTCGCAATACCATTTGCTAAGCCTTTTTCTGACGTCTCCAAAATTGAAATTTTTGCAAATAAAAATTCAAAAGGTGGCAAGAATGTGTACACTCCCTACTCAACATTCATGCAGTGGATTAAGCACTGATAGAATCCCAACTGCTGCGATCGTGGATATTAAGATACAAGAATCATGACAATATGTCAATAAGGTATGTCGTCATACTATTTTACAAACACTCTCAAATGAATATTTGACGTGTATTGTAGCTACAAGCAAGCCAAGACAATTTGGGAAGCTTTGGTAACAAAGTTATCGTCGAAAATACAACCAAACAAAAATTCATCGTAGGAAAGTACAAGCAGTAGCAAATGACTGACGACAAAGAAATGAAAACCCAAATCATGGAATACCAAATGCTACTCGAGGACTTGAAAAATGAAGACATCATGCTGCCTGAGAAATTTGCTGCAGGCATGCTAATTGAAAAACTGCCTGAGTCATGGGGTAACTACAAAAATAACTTGAAGCATAAGGAGAAAAATTACACCATTGATGAGCTCATGAAATACATCCTGGTTGAAGATTCAAACAGAAAGGAGTTAAGAGCTGCCAATGCAAAGGAAATGAGCTTCAGAGCTAATCTGTCCAAAACAACAATCAAAGGTACGCCAATAAGTCCCAGTATAATGGACCAAAAAATCCCAACTACAAGCCCAATATTCCCAATTTTAAGAAAAAGAAAGGCAACTGCTATTATTGTGAAAAACCAGGACATTATGTTGCCCAGTGTAGATACAATAAAGGTGACAAAATAAATGCTAATCCTCCTAAAGTTAATTTAACCGAAAGAGATGAAATAATTGCTGCAGTCATCTCTCAAATGAACATTGCAGCTAATGTGAAAGAATGGGTGGTAGACTCTGGGGCTACTCGGCACATATGTGCAAATCGAGAAGCGTTTTCCTCTATACTTCAATAGGGATGATGAAAAAGTAGTCTACCTTGGAGACTCACGAACTGCTAAAGTTCTGGGTAAGGTAAAGTGCTCTTGAAACTCACTTCAGGAAAAACTTTGGCTCTTATTGATGTGCTGCATGTGCCAAACATTCGGGCAAATCTGGTTTCTGTAGCATTGCTAGAAAAAGTTGGGATGAAAGTGTCATTCGAATCTGATAAGATTTTAATGACAAAAAATAATGTATTTGTGGGAAATACTATTGTAACCAGGGACTTTTTGTACTTAAATTTCAAATGTTCTTAATGAGAATGCTTCTTTTTCTACTTTTATTGTTGATTCAATTTCTTTATGGCATGCTAGATTAGGACATGTTAATATAGGTTATATAAAGAAAATGCAATCTAGTGGCCTAATTTCTGGTATTAATGATAAAATGGACAAATGTGAAATATGTGCAGAAACCAAAATAACAAAGAAAAGTTGTGTAAGTGTCCAAAGAGAAACTGAATTATTAAGTTCAATTCACACAGACTTAGGTGATTTGAAACAAACTATGACTAGAGGAGGCAAAAGACATTATGTTACTTTTATAGATGATTACTCTAGATACACTAAACTTTATTTACTTAGAAATAAAGATGATACTCATAATGCCTTTTTATCCTATAAGTCTGAAGTAGAAAATCAACTTAATAAAATGATAAAAAGAATTAGATCAGATAGAGGAGGTGAATATTTAGTTTTGGATAGCTTTTGTAACATAAAGGTATAATACATGAAGTAACACCACCATATTCACCACAATCTAATGGTGTAACTGAAAAGAAAAATAGAACACTAAAAGAAATGATGAACTCCATGTTAGTTAGTTTTCATGCTCCTGATAATTTGTGGGGGGGGAAGCTATTTTATATGCTTGTCATTTACAAAATAGAATTTCACATAAAAGAACTGGCAAAACCTTATGAGTTATGAAAAAATTATAAACCTAATTTGAAATATCTGAAATGTGGGGGTGTTTAGCTAACGTATTATTGCTTGAATCTAAGAAAAGAAAATTAAGTTCTAAAACTTCTGATTGTATGTT